TGAGGTTGTTGGAAAACTCCGCCCTTCCCCCAAATACGTTAATATTGACATAAGCTTATATATATATATATATTCTCTAGCCAAGGTTTCGTTCATTGGCCTTACATAGCACAGGTGTTCCCATTGTGAGTACAAGGCTGAAAGTAAATACCCTGGGTATGTAAATTATGCCACAAAGTAGGTATCATCTTCCTTCTGATCTAAATACTGCGTATACTATTATTCGTGACTATCTGCAACAATAGTAATGCGACATTTGATCTTGCTTCACTGCATACAGCTTATTATAAAACAATGTCAAATGTGATTATGGTTGTTGTGAACTCCATTAAACAATATGTCCTAGTGTATGAAACACTGATGCGCTCTTCAGTGTGGTACCCGACTAACCTATTTAACTATGAAAAGTGTACTTGTCAACTGTAGCGTGCAGTTCATTTTAGGGCGGTGTGTTTTGTATCTCGAAAGTACTTAGACAAGAGCCTGATTAAAAGTTTAAAACAATAGTATTCATCAGGTTATAAGTAGGTTTTTCCCATTTTCTCACAAAACCATTTATCACGCTCAGCTAAGCCAGTGTTAAAAATCAGTTATTAGCAGGTAATGAATAGGATTTACACGACAGAAACTATGAACGCGTAGTCCAAAGAGAGCATTTCGAGAAAAAGACCGAAGTCTATGCGCGCTTGACAGCACCAGGTCTTTTATTGGGACTAAAAAGCGCTTGGCTAGAGTCTTCCCTGTCTTGCATACATTACAGTATAGTCAAAATAAAACTAAAATTTCACCAGAATACGAAATAAGCTTAGAACACCCTGCCATAGTTGTCATTCAAAATCAGACCAACATCGTCAGAATGATTGTGCCCTTGTTGTATTCTTCAAAGCATTTTGAAAGGACGCACATAGAATGAGGTATATATCTAACTCACCTGAGGCAGGTAGATTGATATATGCACATAGGAGTAGTCATATGTGAAAGTTTGTCCTTCACATTGCTTTGAAGTGGTGGTTGGCTAAAGAATATCACTCTTATTGTTGCTGCAGGAAAGGTATTTTTGAGAGAGCCTAAGCTCGTCCTCTTAGGATATCTGCCGCCAACTGTCGTCCAAAGCCCAGATTCATGTATGGTATCATTTTGGCACTACATTCTCTTTTTGGCTTGGGTTTCACGTTCTTCTCCGTGAAACGCATCGGATATCCATTTCGAGCCAGCATATTTTTGAGTAATAAGAGCGGTTCCTCTGAGAAGTCTATTCTGCAAATTCCCATACGGTAGGCCAGTGAAAGGAGAATTGGCATCATTAACTGCATTAATACTATATCTCTTTCTATGTGTGTGTTATGTAGAATTCACTTCTTCGATATCCTATCACAGCAACGAAGTCTCCTGGTACTTTAGAATAACAGAAAGAAACAGGTGTATGGGCTGCCGTAGAATTGTTAAAGGTTATCAGTAAACTCACCGTTTGTGTACTGATTCACTTAACCTCATCAGAACATTGTTGTGAATTACTGAAGTGTACCGTACGAGTGTCCGAAGATTCCATGTCAGGTCCAGGTCATGAGAGCAATAAATACTATGATAACAACCAGCAATACAATCAGCAACCTTGTTACATACTTTATAACCAGCATTATTATTGCTTATGAGCAAGTGGCTTTGGCAACAAAGTAGGGAGTTTGAGCCAATAGAAAATCGTACTGGAGGTATCTGATATATTGGATGTCAACAAATCGACAACACTGATTGTCTCCTACCATTTTTTTTCCTGGTGAGGACTGAAGTAGTTGTGTTCTATGACCTGGATGGTTTATTTGCAAAGCTTTCATTGCCTTACTAGGCAATACCGTCAGACTATACTTCAGTTTGAAGTAGAGTTTTGAATTTCCTCACGAGTGTATTAATAATCTCTCCTGGTAACCTTAAATTTGTTTGGTTGCTTTTGTCTGTTTTCACACCCGCTAGTCAAGCGGTTCACTCACAAGAGTGAGTGCAGGTACAGGCTCCTGCCAATCTTGTAATAGTACTTTGCACTTAGACGGCGCAAAGCACATACCATACTTACAGACACTGATCGCCAACTGATTAAGTGCGATTTGGGTAGCCTGCATGCTATCTCACAGTAAGACGATATCGTCTGCATACTCGAGGTCGAAAAGTCTATCTCCAGGTAGCAGATCTACACCACCTTCACGCACATCCTTCAGAGCTGACTCCAGAATGCCACCGATGGCAAAGTTAAGGAGAAATGGAGAGATTGGGCGACCCTGTCTAACCCCACTGTTGGTTGGGAACAGTGATGATAGTTGGTTGTATGCTTTTACTCTACCTGAGGTGTTTCTGTATAGGGCTTTCAAGATGTTAACAAATTTATCAGGTACACCTCTCTCTAACAGACAGTTCTAGAGGACAGTTCTGTCCAACGAATCGAAGGCAGCCCTAATATCAAGAAACACAACGAACGTTGGCCTGCAATACGTGTGGCAGTGTTCCAACAACTGACGAAGGGTGAACACATGATCAATGCATCCACGACCTGAACGAAACCCAGCCTGCTCTTCGCGAATCAACTCTTCACGTATTTTGCACAGCCTGCGAAGCAAGACGGCAGCCAATATTTTAGATGCGACTGGTAACAGACTGATACCCCTACGATTGTCACACGAATTACTTCGATCCTTTTTAAAGATAGGGACGATAATGGCTTCGTTCCACATTGATGGTACACTCTCTGTCTCCCAAACCTTCCCGAACAACCCAGTTAGAGCCATTGTGAGAGTCTCGCCACCATCTTTAAAAAGAACCGGGGTAAATTGTCTGGGCCGGGCACCTTATGGCTTTTCAATACTTGGAGTTCCTTACGGACCTCTACTTCGGTGGGTGGCTCGGTACTAACCGACCAAGGAGCACTGGGGCTAGTGATAGTAGACACTGAAGCTGGTGGCCAGCTAAACTGCTTCCCGAAGTGCTCTGCCCAGCGTTCCAGGCGTCTTTTCAAGCTGGTAATTGGCGTGCCATCTGCCTCACAAACCGTCTCACTGACACCTTGTTTCTTGCCGCCGGTGGCTCGGATGAGTTGGAACAGCTTCCGACTGTTGCCAGATGCAGCAGCTGACTCCATCTCACACGCACGTTCTGACCACCAGGCTTCGCGGTCCTTAAGTAAATACTGTCTAATCTTTCGCGTGAGTGCCTTTCGCACATTGTTGTATTCGCTGCCAGCCGGAATGGACCGGCGTTCATCCATGAATTGCAAGGAACTCGCAGCAACCCAGTGGTTTTTAGCGGAGCATTCTTTCTTATTTTTATTTTTGATTACAGCTTGATTCCACACTGTATTTTTGATACGAGTATGGAATTTTCAGCGTGGATATCGGTAGTCCAAATTTCGCAGGCCGACCATAGATATCAGGTGTGCGTCGGCAGGGGATCCAACCTCGGACCATGTGCATGGTTGGCGAGAGTCCTAACCACTGTGCCACCGACGCACAGTGGCCACACTCGCCTTTTGCATGGCACCTTGCACATGAAGCCAATGTTCATCTATACTACTTGGGGGGTTGCTGGCAGTCATTGATTGTAACTCATTCTGATATTTCAAAGAAGTAGCAGGTGCTACTGGTTTTCTCACATCAACGTTTAGACGACGCTTTTTATGAACCCCACCAAATCACAAGACGAACTTGGCACACACTAACGCATGATCGGAGTCCAGGCATGTGCTTCAGAAGGAGCGACAGTCTGACAGCAATATGATCAGTCTGAGTCCAAGTATATAAATGTGTGTTGTTTATAGCTTCTGAGAATCGTATCGGTAACGGGACAGATAGGGTGCTGGCGGCGTTTATACTTCTTACTTGGCCGATTGATTAAGGCTGGTGTACTAACTTATCCCATACCAACATTTTTAATTGATCATGAAAACAGAAGGGTCAATAGTATGTCAAGATATTTCTACTTATTGGATTAGAGTAGTAAGTTTCTCTCCTTGCCATTTTATTATGATTATTATTATTATTTTCATTGCTTGCCTTCGGAGTGGAATATAATGCTTTGTGGCGGCGGGGCACATCTCTATTCAGCTCACTTATCTATCTGGTGTGACTTTCAGCTAATTTCACAACTTCCCACAAGCTTTCATTCCATCCACTGTTCACATTGTTTTCACTTGTGTGTAATTTCAGATTTGTGAGATATGAGACATACATACATCAACTGAAAGTGGAGATATCTAACAAGGTATTTCTGTTGATATATGGTGCGCACCTGCTCCCATTACTCTTTGCAGTCATCTGTCTAGCAACCAGTTTAGTCATCGGAGATACTAGTCAGTTAGTTCTGTCTTATTCATTTCTTCAAGTAAAAGGCTTCAACGAGGTTTTGCGTATGGGACATCATTATCATCCACAAAGGTGTTTTGTAGTGTCCCTTTAAGGATCATATTTTCCCTATTTATTAAATAACAGAATTCGAGGTTTCTTTGTAAAAGGAGAAATAATAATTAGGATCACAATATATCGTCTTCTGAATAGCATGAATAACATTGAAGCATAATAGTAGTTGAGCTAGGCAGTTTGTATTCCACTAGCTTGAACTGATATCTATCTGTCTGTGACTTGAGTCAAACTCATTATTATAAACGGCTAAGAAGCTGTGGTGATTCCCCTCTCTTTTAACTGTGTGTGTATGTGGTTTGTAAATGACGAATTCATCGAATTAGTAGCTAGTCATCAGCCAGTATTTGGACGGTTCGAATCCTCCGACCTGAATAAAACCGGATAGACACAACTGATGAGCATGAGGTTGTTGCCGAATGAGGGTAACAGCCGTCAAGTGTTTGGATTGGTTTCCAACTACTTATATGTTCCGGTCAATCAGTAGTATATACATACATGAGTATACTAATATGGCCTTATTATGCTTAATTCACTTTTATTAATACGAAATTTTGAATGTTACACTCACCAATGTTTTTGTTTATTCTATTTTATTTTCAGTGAATGTCTGTGTAGAACTTCATGGTACATTCGATCTATTCGTATTGACATTTCATGTATTCGACTTATGGTGTAAGGCGTCATCTTCATGTGCCAGTAATAATGATGATGGCGGTCCACATATAGAATTGTGTATTGTGCTGCTTTCATTGAATGATTTTATTTCGAATTTTACATCGGTTTTTTCAAAAGTGTCACCTTCGGTGACAGGAACGTTGAAGATAAAGAATGAAACAACTGTGAATGGAAATAATAATAATAATATCAGTGATGATGACAATGACATGAACTACAGCACCATAGAATCTTCATCAAGACAGTATCAATTTGTCGTGTTTACTAGACAATTAGTTATGCGCTTATCAGATCACTTGACAGGACGTTTACGAAAAGTGAAATGCCAGGCAAATTTCACATGAAAACAACTACATTGAATCCCTTGTTCGATGTTTCATTGCAGCTGGACCAAATTAGACAGACAATTTTATTAATTAGGCAAAGTTTGGGACAAAAATGAATCAAACGAGTCTCTCGACAATATAAGATTTGTGCACAGTGTTTATTTTTCTATTAAAACATTTCATAAATTATTTTTTTTTAATCTCCTTTTTTATTTTCCCAATGTTGTTACTAACATGCACGCGTTGGTTTCCGGGGTTTTGATTGATTGGTTACAGGATTTTATCATGAAGTGACATCGGTCGGTTAGAGAAACACTTTAAGACCTGCAGGGAGCACTAGATAGCTGTTTCTGTTGTCCTAGTTTGGGACTCTTTATCAGTAGGCAACCATTGGGGCTATAACCCAGAACTTTCTAGTTACAAGGCGAGATAGCTCGTAGACGACCACTAAGCCATCCTCTGACACCCGATCCAACGTTCCATGAATTCTGACTTCTGTCAATTCACACACGATATACTGTGACCACTAGTGAATGTCATCCGTGACGAGTATTTGTCTTCACACCCCATCGACCTGCTGTACCCCACTGGTCACGATTTCCAACTAAAACCCAGGTAACTACCCACGTGAATAGGAGTCAGGTGTTAATAACACTAATTCATTCACTATTATGGATGCTTATATAACTGTAGAACCTGGTGATGAAATTATCGAAAAGAATATTTTTTTGTTGAGTAAGCATTCTTTTTAAAAATTTAATGGGCATTTTTAATCCGTGAAAACCATATTGTTGTTTTTCATCGTTTCTTTCGCAACTTTTTCATTGTTTTTTTTAATTACCTTTATCAAAGTAGTAATAGCAACCGAAGAATTACAAAATTTTAATTTATATACCTACGGTAAGTGGATAAATGTATCATAGTTATGGACGGACAAAAAGATTAGATGATCTGGACTTTGCAAATGAGGCAAAAAACCAACAAGTTGGCAGGAGAAGGACCGAAGACAGGACTACAGGTGAATATAGGGAAGGCGGAGGTGGTAAAGTTACACACTGACCAACAACAATAACAGAGTAGTCTAAAGGGATTCGTTTTTTTTACTTGTCTGGATAAGCAGCGTCGTATCAACAGCAGATGACGAAATTGATGAGGATGTAGAAACCACCAACCATATTATTTTATTTTTTATTTAAGCTTATCACACTGATTTTCGGTACATATGGATTTTCAGAGGATATCGAGCCCAAATTTGCAGGAAGGCAAGATAGATGTTTAATACTGTGAAGTTTGTGTGGTAATCCAAGCTCAACACTTGGAATAAATTACTGGATCTGAATTTTTAACATTATTGTCAAATAGGCGAGTGCTTCTATATAGTCTAGTGACTTCGTCGGTGCGTCATGAAAGCATTTCCAACAGGCTGCTACAGAGCTTCATAGACAGTTACCTTCAATCCACACTGAATCTCAGGCGGCAAGTTATAAGGGATAAGCAAGAAAGAACTCAGGCGGGCAACAAACCAACCAAAAACCTGTTGGCCGAGAAATACTCAGAAAATGAAGGTAGACTGGACATCGACTGAGGAGACAGCTATACCACACCACTGGGCTGGAGCACAGGTTAGACTTTCGAGCGTCACATGGAGAAGATACTATGAGGAGGAAATGAAAGCTTACAAGCCATCGTGGAATCAGATGAGAATGACTGCAGAAAACAAAGCTTCAGGACCCAAAGAAGTAAACACAGTTCTTTAGCATGAAGTGGTTTTTTCACGTTGTCAGGTGGGTGAATCGGTAAAGGCAACAAACCATGTTGAGATTTTTACACTCAGGGGATTGATTGTACTGTTGATATGCTACACTATGTCAGTCTCTTCCTAAACGTAATATGCCTAGTTGCTGACCTAATTAGTGCACAACCTGACCTGGAAGTATTGATAGACAAAACGCCAGTCTAAGTAAGACTCAGTTATGTAGAAATATGCTTTAATGAGCAGCATATTTAAATTTGTTTTTACTATTTTGTTTTATTCCTTTCCGTTTTGAGTGGAACACAGGAGGCTTCAAATTAGAGCTATGAAGTTTCAGTAGCAGTGATGTTTATTTTCACGTGATGGGGTTGCGAGTATCATACCCAACATTCCCTCTTTATCGGTCTGAATAGCGGCCTAGACAGCTGAAAGAGTTTGTGTCCCGGGTTTCGAACGAACCACGGACCACATGCATAGCTGGCGAATATTCTACCGCTAAGCCACCGATGCATAAATCTAAACTTGACTTAGTCACATTTACCTCAATTTCATGTAATAAGTAAAACGTAGGAGGGCATTTTTGTGTTAGAAGGAATTCATTATGAAGTGAATTTGGAATTACCATCATTACAGTGTAGTTTAGTCGCGTGCCTACTACTTTTATTGACTGTCTACACAAAAATCCTGTTTTCGACAAACAACACAGAAAGAAAGTTGATAGTCGATAATCCCACAACACAGGACAAGATGTAGAGATATCCGGTACTTAAGACTACTACTAGTTCAAACCAGGATGTGCGTGTCGTTCGTACTTGGATACTATCGGTTGGATGTAACTACATCTCCCATTGTGTGGTGATGAGGATGATGATGATAATGAATATTCCACTGAGATGAGAAGTCAATGCATGCAAACCAAAGCAGTTGTCCATCTGGTTACTAAGTCAACAAGTGTGGTGGTTAGCATCCTGATAATTATCTTAAGAAAAACGACTCGACGTCATGTGTTCTTTCTTATTAAAAGAGATACGAGGCTTCATTGTATTCTACTTGACAGTTTTTTTTCTTATCACAGATAACATTTTGCTTTGTCACTTCATCTAGGCCATACAAATCACAGTTTAACTGTCACAGGAGGATAAGGAGGATATGTTATAATTATAAATATGACAGACGTTCTGTATTCTCATGTAACAGTTCAGTGGAATCTATTTTAGTCAATAAACTCCACCTTTTAACAGCTATCATGTTATTAAAACAATAGGATTTAAATAGATATTTCTGCGGAAACAATTACTCAAGGATAGATACCAATTCATACATCCGGTTTCTTTCATTATAGTTTGAATAAATAGATATTCTCAGGATAATAATACGAGCTGATTTTACTTCGTGGATTCTTCCTCTTCAAATTGTATACATTCTAAACAAAATCAAATAATACGTTACAGAATTTCCGAACATGATTTTTTCACAGTGCGATGAGTTATCGAGAGAAAGTATAATCAGCATAATTGCAAAAAAATGATGTAAGTAGACAAATTATTTAGTGTTAAAAGAGTAACTATCTATATAGAATGTAGATAAAGTGAGTTAGAGTTGAGATTTGGCGTGGAAACACGGCTTGACTATAGATCAAATACAAGATAAAATAACAACAAGAAGTAGATAGACTACGAGATTTATGCATATTATAGTAGAGAGTTGAGGAGGGTGCGGGTGAATAGTGAAGTGAAATTATAAAACAGACAAAATAATTTAATTTACTGGATTCGGAGACTTAATAATGATTTCAAGTCAGTAAGTGAAAATCAAAATTAAGATTGGGTCAAATGTTGTGCAATAGAAGAAAACAATTACGACCATCAGTCAGGCTACCTTTCTATATGCATAGGTTGTGACAGCAATGTGTGGTGATTGACAATTTCTATCTCTGTATTGTTTAAATACTTACTGTTGACTGTTGATATGTTTCTTATATGAATTGAATAATAATTCCGCTAAATACAAATTCCTGAATTCCGCCCTCTCTGTGTTTTGGTTGGATTCGTGTAATTCGGTCATCTCGAAATACTAATACTACGATTACAAATAATTACGACATATTGGCGTCGCGATGGAACTAAATAACCTTGTAAAATTACCTATAAACTGTTCTCCGCGGGAGATTGCTGATTACCTTGAATGGTTTGATGCATGGTGAATTTCAAAGAACGTTCAGGATGACAAAATACCAGCACATTTCATCACTGCTATTGGGCTAGATGCATATAGCCTAGTAAAGACTCTGGCGTTTCCAGATAAACCCATTTCTCTGTTATATATCAAGATTCATGAACTTCTGATAAATCACTTTCATGTAACTACTTTTGAGACAAGAGAGAGGGCTCAATTCAACAAACTGGTTCGTGCTCCCAACCAGAAGATTCGAGAATTCATTCTTCAACTCCAAATACAAGCTTCAAGGTGTAACTTTGGAGATCAGCTGCATACTCAACTACGTGATCGTCTAATTGCTGGAATCAATATTCCTAAGTTAGAGAAAGAGTTAATTCGGATTCCTTCTTGTACTTTTCAAACTGCTAAAGATTTATGTATTACATATGAAGATGTCAACAGTGAATACTCTGCTCCCACTACGTCAGTATCTGATGTGATGCTTTCTAAAGTCGAAAATACAAGTGGTCATGGAAAGCAATCCAAACTGCCGTCCACAGGTAATAGAATGCAGCAAGAGATCAAAAACATTAAATCGTGTTTATCCTGTGGAAAGTTACATCTACGAAGCACTTGCCGTTTTCGGGGTGCTAAGTGTCACAAATGTGGTAAAGTTAGACACATCAAGACGGTTTGCAGAAGTTCGAATACTTATGTTACTCAGAATTCTTGTAATTCTCCCAATCTGTCTAGCAAAATGGAGTCAATGTGTCTTTCAACTTTTCAAAATACTCAATCTCATCCAATGAAAACCTCCACTACAAGTTCAGCAACTCAAGCGTCAACTGTTTCCAAAATGTGGTAGCCGAGTTACGATGCGAACTGTCGAAAACACGAAAGAAAACTGAATGAGATGAGAGAGCAACTGATTAAAATGGAGGAATTACTGCATATGCATAGACTGCGTCTGTTGAATGCAGAGCATACAAGTACCCGTGAAAGTCCTGCAAAACTTTTCAAGTCTCGAATTCTCAAAAAGCATCTGATGTCCACGACTTCCAATGTACATTATTACAGGGGGAATGACTATAGACCTTCTGTTGGAATCACACTGCAAAATATTAGAAATCGACTGTTGAAAATATTAGACATCA